GGGTTTAAGCATTCAGAAAAAACTGTAAATACCTCATGTTTAGACCAACTTCACTTTTATGTCCTCTTGAAAGATTTCCAAGTGCATTTCATTAGTGAGTACTAAATGTAATCATAACTGAAGTTAAATAATAAGTCTCTTTTACTTCATCTTTTTGGCTTATATCTGCACACTTGTGCCCCAGTCACACAGTGATTTCAAACCCAGGATCTATTTGCTGTGAGGCAACAGTGCTAACCACCACACAAAACACCAAACTGAATTGAATTAAATTTAATTACATCCAAACTCTATTATGTGGAAGTTATTTCAATGCAATGTCCAGACTTGATGTAAGCAATCTGGTTATTTAGGGGTATTGCAGTTACTGTCATCAAATCATCCAAGTCATACATGTAGCCTGTTGTCAGACTGCTCTTCCTCATTTCTATTTACTCCATTTCTGTTTTTGACTAGCCCCTACAGTTCTTCTCAATTGCTTTGGGTTAATTCTCACAGCAGAAAGGTCTTTCTCACTACTCCTAATGCAATTTTGAAATCAGTTTTTCAATCTTCTGTTGTCCAATATGTTGAGCCCATGAAAAATGTAACCTCGGTTTCCTGTTCTTAGCTGACAGGTGTGGGTCCCAGTATGGCTTCAAGTTGAGGTGTTTTGTTTTCAGAGATGGTCTTCTGCGTTGTTAGTTTTTAATTACATGAAGTTTGTAATGACAGGCTATTTGAGTTAATGTTACCTTCCTATCAGCTGGAAGTAGTCTGGCCATTCTTCTCTGACATCAACATGGTAGTTTCACCAAGAAAAGTGCTTCTCACTAGATAGCAGGCCTAAATAGCATGCCTAAATGCTTTGAGTTGCTGCTGAAATTCAGTTTCTGATGGCACAAAGTTCTGCCCATAGAAAGGCTGGCTAGATAACTGGACTACTATAATGAGCAGTAGAACAAGTGTACCTAAGAAACTAGTTGCTGAGTATGTGTAGCATGACTTTGTTCTTTGTCTTTTCTTCGTTTCATTAGTTGTAAAGTTAAAAAAAAAATTCTGTGTATTTATTTTATTCTTTCTGAAAATTCGTTACATAAGGTTTGCATTGTTGAGGAACTCTTTCCAAAGTCAGGTTTTGAAAACAAAACAAAACAAAACCCCAGTATTTTGACAACCCAGTCTTTAAAGGGTGGTAGAAGGTTTTTATCCTTTCATTGTAGAGTTGAAGGGATTGACTGACTATTCATGTTCTGAAAAATGTAAGAATAAGGTCTTGATTGTTTGAGCTGAGTCTGTCTTATGAAAACTGCCCTAACTTTTTTGATAACTGCATGAAGAGTGGCGAGAAATACTTTTCTTCTGTGAGAATTGTGCCATTTCGATTGAGACAAACTGTAAATTGTGCTGAAAATGTACCATTTCAATTGATTTGAGATTAAAAGATTGTATAAGAACAGAGGTAAAAGATTACAACACTATGTTCAAATGCAAGAACTTTCTTATTAATGTCGCACCATGACACGTTTTGTGTGTGTGTGTGTGTGTGTGTGTGTGTGTGTGTGTGTGTGTGTGTGCATGTGATGAATTTATCAAATTTTGCCATTATTTTGGTTTCACAAACTCCATTTACTAATACCTTGAAGAGAAGAAGGTATTGGTGATCCAAATCTATTAGAATGGTCCAACTGAAAGCACACACCATTGTACATGGTGATACTTCTGCAGTCCTTTGGAATGGATGGACCACATGCCTGAGAGGAGACAAACTCAAGCTGTCATTCATACATTATAATTATTTATATGTATTATTGTATTGCATTGTATTATTTATAAATAATGCTTAATTCCATACAAAGTCAAGCAAATCTTGTTTGTTTGGTTTTTACTTAGTCATTTTAAAGAAGCCATACAGATTTTAACCAAATTTGTATGAAGAAAGTTGGGATTAGGGGTTTTTCAAAATGTTTATTTTTAATTATTTAAAAAAAAAAAAAACATTTTTACGTACTAAATTGTTTTAATTGAAAAAAACTTAAAACTTAAAACATAAACATTACTTTATTAAATATGGTGAAGATATTGTACCTAAACTATTAGCTGATTCTGTAGGGGAAAGATGGAAGGCACACTAATTTTTCATGGAACGACCTTCATTCACTTCTAACTGTAAGAATATATTTGACACAAAGGGAGAGACAGCTTTGAGTCTACCAACTCACCACAGTCTTTTGTGCTGTGGGATCACTTTTCATTGTCAAACCAAGAGACATGTTGACTGCAGAGCCTGGCACTGGATTGAAAGCATTCAGCATTTGTTAAACATTTCTGAAAAACACTTTGTGAATGAAAGGAAAAAAGAGTGAAACTCACAACTGCAGAGCAACACATTAAAACAGGCAATTTTAACCTCATTTGTCCTTACTGTTGAACCTGTATGTTACTGGTTCAACAGTAAGGATTGTAAAACAGAATTTAATTTCACTCTTACATAATTTAAAATCTTTAAAAAGTTTGGAATATTTGAATAATTACAATGATGATTTTATATAGCCATGTCCCTGGTTATTGGACTCTTACTGTAAAGGTTTTAGGACATTGTGCCATTTTAAAATGGATGATTTCGTACCTTGAAGTTGGATATTTTGACAGTTTTGAGAAGTGGTAGTGCACCTATAAATTCTTCCTCTTCCATTTTGTGAATACTGTTCAAGTGGCGCACTGACAAGCAAACTAGGAAAATAAATCCAGACAATGATGTAAGTCTAGAGAGCAAACTGTAATGAAACGAAGTCCATTTCATTTCTGTTAAGAATTATGGTATACTTGTTAACTTACAGCTGTGGGGCATAACAGAGATAACAATGCATATTCTGACTTACTCTGATTGTCTTTGAACCACCTGGTAGCCAAAACCGGCAGCAGAGCTCCTCAGGGTCTTCCAAGCCACAGGATCAATATTGAAACAAAGGGCAACATTTAACACTGAGAATTACAGAAGAAAGAAAGAAAAACATCAGTATTGCCATTTAAATTACATCTAATTATATACATATAGAAAACTGCATAAAGTCTGAGTTACTTTCCTTCATTTTTATCATTTTACTTTACTACATTACCACTAGACAGCGCCAAAATCAGATATTTCAAAGTTTACTGAAACACTGTGGCTCAGAACAATTTCTCTCAAAATTTATAGTTTAGATTTCACTGTGAAAATTTAAATGTTTTCTCATATGAAAATGTCATTAATTAATAATGATGAATTAATGATGATCTGTACAGTGAAAATGTTATACCATTGCAACCATACATAGCAAAGTCTTTGTTCAATACAAGGCTGTACCTACTGTCCTATTATATTTTTATTTTTATTAAACGAAAGTCTTCTTTTTGGAGGAATACAGTTAATATGATCTCATAGTGTTGAGCTTGTTTATTGTATTTTTCTGCATTTTACAGTGTTCAACAATGTCATCTTAATGATCTACATTTATTTAGATTCATTTAGTTTTATACTTAGTTTCTTCACAAATACATTGTTAACCATTAAAGAAATAAAGAAAATTTGTCATTACCTACAGCTTGATATTTATGTAGACTCTTTTGCTTAGTTTTAGCTTTCTGATTTAACTTCAATAATCACTTCGTCCAAAGCATCTACTTGTCTATTTTTTCTATATGATATGGTTTTGTATACTAATCTATAATCCCTGCTGGATATTAATAATACAAAGAAATATTTTTTGATTGAAAAATGTTGCTGTGCTGTGCATATTTACTAAAAACACAGCTTGAATTAACTGCTAGTCAAATATCCACTATTTCCACACAATGATAATACGAGAACAGAAGAAAAAATAAGAAGGCCCAACCTTGTCTTACCTGACAAGAATAGTGTAGCATTAATTGTCCAGTCCATTGTACTGCTCCCATAGAAAATAAATGACAGATGAGTGGGAAATTACTTCTGTTAATGTTCAGAGAAGGAATTGAAACAAAAAATGCAGAAAGTCATAAGGTGACTGGTAAGACAGTCATTCAGAGGAACTTGTAGGAGGAGTTATAACACTGGCACAACACTCGGTAGTATTGTTTAAATTTTGTCAATCAACCACATATTTTTTAACTGAACAGTAAAAAGACTAATGGTAAACAGAGATGATAGTTCATTCTGGGCAACAAGATCAAACCACTGTAATCATAAATAACACTTAACATAATAAATAGCCATATAGAAACTTCTATATAAGTTGAGTTTTTGTTTGCAGATGTGAAACTAAATCCTTTGGTGAAAAAATGGTTTTACTCAGATAAAACTGTCTGTGTAGTGAAATGTGAAAAACATGCAAAAGAAAAGTTAAAAAAAAAACCCATGTAATTGTCCAACTCACCACAGTATTGTTTAGAAAATCCTTGTCTTGAAATCTTGAAATTGAAATCTACAAATAAAGTTACAGATTACCTAAAGTGATCATGTTATTGAATCGTTGTCATGTTGACAGCAGTACAACAGTAGCAAAAATACTAACCAGGTCTCCAAATTGCAAGAGGCTGTTGTTGTTGTACAAACAGAGATGAGGAAGGTGAAATTAAACAGATTTAGAGGCATAATTAGGAAGGGAGACATTCAAGAATTCAGGTAAAATGAATGTATACTTTGACCATGAGCCAGGGATGTACTGGCTGCACATTTTTAAGCAAACTAGGGGCTGTCGTAATTTACCCCAAAAAGCTAATTATTGACTGTGACTTTCTATTGTTTGATTTTCTTGAAGGACATTGGGCAAATCCAATAAAAATCTCTCAGCCCTCATTAAGGGGCCTGGGTCGTCGACCCAGTGTTGGGTTTGTTATATTTTTAGCTTTCTTTGTTTAATAGGTTATAGGGTTGTTCTGAGTTTAGGTTCTCTGTGTGGTTTATGTTAGAGTTTTAGTCTTTTGCTTCTGTCTGTGTTCCTTAGTTGTTGTCTCCCCTGTCTGCTGTATCCCATTGTCAAGTCTGCATCTCTGTGTTATGTTTCCTGTTTTAATTTGAAGCTGTTGCAACCAGGTTGTTGAATGCACTTCTATTTCTACGGTGTCTGGACTCGGTGGAGACCTTTAAAAATGTCTTTTAAAAAAATGTCTTCTTTCAAAATGCTTTTAATTAGACCAGGGTTTTTATGATGTATTTATAACTGTGCTATGTTTTGTTATCTTTCTTGTGAAGCACTTTGTGACATGTCTGTGAAAAGTGCTATATAAACTTTTACTTCACTTATTGCTTTTCAGTCTGTGGCACCAAAACTTTGGAACGGCCTCCCACTACAATTACAGTTAGCTGACTCTGTGGATTCTTTTAAAAACCAGCTTGGCTGGTTAATGTGAAAAGGGAAAAATATGTCTGACCCTAAGAGTTTCCTTTTTTTTTAACCATCTCACATTAATATAACTGCAGCCATTCCCTAAGTATATGAATGAAACTGAGCTTATAACCAGATGTTAGTGAATGGTTTTAATTAAGCTAGTTATGCAACTGTATAGTTTAGAACATTGGAGAAACCTCCAGTCAATTTTCATTTACTTAAAATTGGACGACTAACTATCCAGTACTTTATACGACTTTGAAAAGAAATTTATTTGACAGATGAGTGAGGTAATACTTCGGATGACAGAGAAGAATTGGAAACCAAAAATGCAGAAATTATAGGTTGACTACTCAAAGCTAAGACATTCATTTAGAGAAAGTCCTATGTAGAATGAGCTACAATGCTGACACCACTGTCTGTTCAGAAAAGCATCCTCCTTACAAGAAACCTAAAAATAAAAAGGTTAATTCCTCCTTTTTGCCTGACTTCCTCTGCACTTCCATCCAGTTCTTGTTAGTCAAAAAATATGATATATTTCCAGTTTTTATGATGCATGCAGAATAAGTTAGATCCGATATGAGGCTACTTCTACTAGTGTCTATGGCTGAAAAGTAGATGTTCTGTGAATTTACCTAATGTGCATGTGTAGCCAAAAGTAGAACTTACTTAACATATTTCCATGACTAGCTCACTGCAACTTAGGATTAAAAAAGAAACAAAAAAATGTTTTGTTATTATTTTGAGCATCTAAAAATAATTTCTATACTCTCCTTGACTAGATTACCAACAAGGTGGTTGTACTTCTTTTCACACCTTGTGGCATCTGTGGATGCTTGTTAGTTTAGACTAGAAATGCTTGTCAGTGATTCATTTTACAGTAAATCAGACTCCTCTTCTGTCAGTATCCAGTGAGAAAATGTAGTTTTGTCAGCAACTTAACACTGAATAATCTGACCACATCCGAGGTGCCAAGTTTCATATCAGTTTTTTCCTGTCGTTTTTTAGTTATTTTTAGTTATTTAGTCTGTGTTTTCTTATGAGCTGTCTGATTAAGAGAAATTGAAACTGATGCATAGTGTAGTAAACCTGACTCTGTGAATGTATAATCTTTCCCAAGGTTTAATCAACACAATGACTCATAAATGTAAAATGGTCTTGATACCTTAGAATGAAAGCACCAACAATTTCCAGTGAAGACTGGATGACATTTTCTCCTTGCTGAAAGTGTTAATCACCAGTTAACCCTTGTGTTGTCTTTGGGACATCTTTGTCCCCAAAAGAAGAAAAGTTATTCAGTAGTATGCTATGCATGTTTGGAATAAGTTTTAAGTAATTTGATTTATTTATGGGGTTTTTATTAGATTTTATAACACCTGATGTCCTCGGGGACAAAAATGTACAAAGTGTGGCAAAGGGCCATATTTTCACACCACACTGTTTTCAGATATCTTGGATCTTGGATCACTGATGTGTGGGGTCAAGCAATGGTCATAACAACAACAACAGGCAGCACAATGAGGAGACAGGCGCTCTACATTCAATTCAATTTTATTTATACAGCGCCAAATCACAACAACAGGTGCTTTATATTGTAAGGTAGACCCTACAATAATACATAGACAAAGTATGCTCATAAGCCTCCAGTACAATGGAGGCTTGTGAGATCATTTTTTACCATGTTGTGGAAAGGAATGACCAGTAGAACAATGCATATATTGTCATTTAGTATAATGAGGAGGAAGAATCAATGTTCAGGAAGAACATATTATCAATATTTAGATCACATGCTACCCTTTCTCTAAAAAAGCACATCACCCTTCTGCAGAGGTGGAAGAAGACTATAAAGTGAAGGAAAGTGATGAAGAATCTGAACTATGTTCAAGTAGGTTCTCAGGCATCCAGGACGTGGTAGTCTAAGGAGCTTGGAAAGAAAGTGACTGGGCTTCTTGAAGTTTCTTGAATTTTCAAAATGTGAAACTGAAATAGAAGATGTGTCAGAGGACTACTCATCTTCCATTTCAATTATGATGAGGATCAAGCAAGAAAGACATAGAAAGCAGACAGCAGAGACATAGAAATATTTGCAGTAATGTGAAGAAACATTGATCTGGTCTTCTATCCTTCCCGGTGACAGATGATGCATGACTCTCTTGTACTTTTTAACTTTCAAATGCCAATGGATGCATCAGAGACCAACTTGCCCAAGGACACTTTGGTAAGAACTCAAGACTACAGCACACAGAGATTGAACCAACAACCATCCAATTAGCAGATGACCTGCTCTACAGCCAACTAAATGACAAACAAGGAGGGACAACAAGAGCGGAAGAAAAATGGATCGAATGCAGCTGTAGGCATATGTAGGTATGTGGTTCTTACTGCCGTGCATCCAGTAAAGTCGCTACGGCCAGTTTATGACATCCTGAGTCTGGTAGGGAAGTTTTCATGGTACCGTGATTGACACAAGATTAATCATAGAATCGCAAAAAGGACATGATTTCATGATAAAGACACAATACATGATTGTCGTTCATGGTACAATTATTGATGTGTATGGAACAAGTGTGTGTTTCTCCTGCTGTTGATGTATGATCCAGGTACTGATGTGACTGTGTATGAGCGCCTAGTCCCCTTCAGAGGACTCTGTCCATTCCAACAGAACATCCCAAGTAACCAGGTAACTATGAGATAAAAACATGGGCAGTATGTGATGCTAGGTCCAGCTGTACATGGAACATGCTAGTGTACAATGGCAAACCGTCTGGCCTGCAGTCAGGGCACGCAAGTTGTCCCTAACATTAAAGAAGGTTTCCAAAAGAAAACAATTACGTGTAACAACTTGTTTACTTTATATGCCTTTGGCCTGCAACTGCAGAAAAGAAAGCTGTCCATGATGGGACCAGTACAGAGGAATAAACCTGAGCTTCCTCCTGCATGTGTGTCAAATATGGACACGCCTTTGTTCTTATGAAAGTTTGTCTTCACTAGGACCCATGCCCTGGTGTCCTACCATGTCAAAATATAGAAAAATGTCAGGTAATGGGTTGGAATAAAGTTGAATGAAACCTTGAAACACAGAGATGGATGATCTTTTATACTTATTGCTTTATAAATAGTCATTTTTGAGCCCAAAGGACAACAGATGTGATTATTTGCTGCCAGTAAAAAACTAGAAGTAGTTAAAAAACGCTTCCTAAATTAACTTTGAAATATACCCGTCTGTGATAATCTGTTAAAATAACCAACTCTGGTTGTGAAAGGATAATCACAATGTCTGATGATTTAATTAATTTTTTTTACCCCAAAATAAAGAAACATTTCATTTAAATTAGATTTTATCAGACATAAATTTGAAATGGAATAAAGAAATAGTGTCAAAATGTTTGAATTAAGTTTTAAATAAAAGTGGGGGGAAAATGCAGTTCATATTAATTACGTATCAATCAAACCAGATGGGGACATTTTTGTCCCCTGAGGATCACAGGTATTATTATGTGCTGCCATTTAAAAATGTAGAATGCTTCAAAAAAAAAAACATTCTCACTAAAGTTCAACATACAACACTTTGTGGTTAGTCAAATAGCCAAAATAATCTAAACATTTAGGCCGTCACAGAGCAGCTGTTTTTGTACTGACATTAGATTACACACGGGTGCACTCTATTTAGTCATTAATACTCATCAGGCAATGTCTCAATGTCTATGGGCAACTGACTGCACTCAGACCTGTGGTCTTCAGAGGACAAAAATGTCCTCACTTCATTTGAGTGTTTTTTAATATAAAAGTATAAAATATAAATTGTCAATCAATTCAGTGTTAAACCTTAGTTTTACTTAAGACCAACATACAGTGGATTGCAGAAGTATTCGGCCCCCTTGAACTTTTCCACATTTTGTCACATTACAGCCACAAACATGAATCAATTTTATTGGAATTCCACGTGAAAGACCAATACAAAGTGGTGT